GGGATTGCCACGTTCGCGGTCTCGTGGCTGCTTTTTATCGCGATGTTGGCACCTTTCGTAGCTGATATGATGCTAGTGGTATACCGAGACATGCGATTCTCCTTTAAACTTCTCGCTTCTTTGGTCAAAGAGATGGAATACCTCAAAGCCGCGCCGATATCAACTGACGAGGTCCAAGCAGTTAGGTATAGGATTTGTAGCCATTTGAAGTTGTCGGCTTTTTATTTTTTTTCAGGAAACGTGAAGTGATTTCACTCCAGACTGGAGAGAGGCCGGAGTAGAACATTACGATGGAGAGAGGCTGGAGAAGAACATTACCGTGCTGCAAAATCGGATTGTGTTCTTGTTCGAGGGCGGCCAGTTCATCTGGCCCGGAATTCGTATAGGACACAAGAGTAAGTTTTTGTTGAGCTAGCAGACATGTAAACGATGTCTCGCTTTCTAACGCACTCTTGCTGGCTCTGTTGCAGCACTGGTAAAGAACACCTTCGGCCGTGGTGATCTTGTGCTGGAGACGATCAGTATGACGCCGCTCGTGTTCAGCGTCGAGGAATTTCTCCGTGACGACGAGATCGACATCATCCCTCACTACTTCAAGGCCACCCCGACTCATCTCTTGTACGAAGCGAATATCACATGTACCTGCACCCCCGCCAGCCTTTTGTCCGCTACGAGCACCGTTTGAATAGCCGAATTCCGAGTCAAGGTCATGTTGACAGATTTCCGGGCGTGGCTTCCTTACTCCGACGTCACAATGATATGCAGGCCCGAGGCCTCATCTCATCTGTACGTGATCCATTGGAACAGCGTCAATCAACAGAGAGAAATAATACGTTCGAATACTGGACACCCCCGCATCAAGCTCAAAGATCGAGAGCTGCTATTTCCCCGCAGTCAGAGTGGACGCCACTGACTACAGGTCTCGGGAACAGCAACAAAATGGAAGTTACGCAAGTTCCCGAGAGTAAGGCGTCACCGGTAAGGCGAGCGCCTGAACTCGTCCGTGGACGTAGCGAATCGCGTCCCAAGGCCTCACGGTATCTGCGTGAGATTGATCGACGACGAATCCTGATGCGCATCGCTGAGGGTGAAAAGCAGTCTGCATTGGCAAAGGAATACCATGTGAGTCGAGCTGCGATCTGCAACCTCAACAAACGCCGAGCTGAAGTACTTTCACGCAACCGTGAACACCCTCCGGCTAAGCATCCGAAGCGGAGAATGCTTGCGAAGAGTAAAAGACAGAATACAACGGACAACCAGGCTAGTGGCTACAGCAGCTGATCAAGCTAGGACTAGTTTCTCTAGCTACAGTTACGATATTGTAATATACAGAAAGAGACGAAGGATCTTTTTACCAATATTGTATTATCTGTCAATGAATGCCATGGCATGCCCGAGCAGCAAGACAAAGACTTCGAGTCCATTGCACATACTAGAGCATATGGTACCACTTAACTACTCTGACTACAGAAGTTCTGGTGCTGACGCAGTGCTCGCTCTTCATCAAATTCCCGAGTGCAAATGGCGCATTTTCGCTTGGTGGCAGCACGAGGCTGCAGTTTCTGCCAGTGTGCGCCGAACTCTTCTGTTGTGGTGAAGGACAGGTGGCAGATCGAGCAAGTCTTTGGCTCAGCATTTGAAGATAGAACTGCAGGAGTTGGCGCAACATTGGACTCCGACGTTGCAGTCTGCTGCTTGTCGTACCAGTCCGGTTTAATAAGCGGATCCTTGCCATGCTTGGCTAGTTGATGCTGCCTTCTAGCGTCCCCCTTCTTGAAAGTGCGGTCGCAGAACTCGCACGGCAACAGAACCTTTTTGTTCGCACCACCTTCCAGTTCGTGCACCATATGCACATGCGTTCTCAGCCCCTGTGCAGACTTAAAGCTCCTTTCACACTGAGTGCACGCAAACTCTAAAGGCAGTTCGCTCTCCGCTTTGCGCTTGCGAGATCCCGGCGCTGATTTCTCTTCAGATACCGATGGAGCGGTAGCAGGCACGTTGTCCTCATCTGTAGCCCGTCGGAAGATGAAGAGCGTGCTCGCCTGCTTCTTCCTCTCGCCGTGCAGCGTCACTTGATGGAACGATTTACCATTCTGGTGCCGTTTGCGATCATATACCAGGCCAAAAACCTCATCGTTGTCCACCTCGTCAACCTGTCGATGCAGTCTCAATCCTGCTTTCAATGCTCGCTCCACTGCCTGCCAACGTTCCGGCTGGCCCTCCGCTAACGTCAACAAAATCCCGCTCTCTTCGTCCTCCTCGTTGTCCTCTATTACGTCCAATGCTGAGGCGTAGAAGTGCGACAATAAACTCTGATGACGGCGGACGTTCTCCTCGCCGCAGTGCGGGTGGTTGAATATCACCGCGTCGAACTTGAGCTGCTCGGCTCCTGCCGCCACGAGAGACTCGCGGAGGTTCGTAGCGTCCACACGATGCAGGACAGATGCACCCAATTCCTTCAGTTGAGCACAGATGCGCTTGCACTCCGGGTATTTAGCCACGAGTTCGTCGTAGCTGTCGTAGGACGAAGCAGTCAATTGCAAGGGTGTGTCGTTGCTTTGATTCTTGTGTTGTTTGGCCAGAGCTAGCGAATACGTAAAGTTCCCGTCGCCGACAGTGAGAACGCGGCGATGCTGACGCTTTGCAGAAGCAATTGAGGTCGCAGGCTTCTCCTCTTGCTGCTCGGTTGGCAGCGACGGCGCAGTGGTCACAGTCTTGCGCGTCGGCGCCATTGGACATGAGCAGACATCACTGTGTCCAGCTTTATCTGCTCCGTTTTCTATTCAGCGAATACAGATGGGACAAATACGGCTGGACACAGTTTGCATTATTATGTATGAAATGATTGTGAAAAGTGACCCTATTTTCTCTTTACAATTTACAATTTACAAGGATAAGAGAGTGTGCTTGATGTGTTAGCAGATTTCTTGACTGTAGAATTGTTCCGCCCATACATGAAGGAAGTAAACAGCTTCAACTCAGTGAACAGCTCTATTCGAACGGCCATTGCTGGCTCGAAGTGAGTGAAGTAACCCCCCGACGTCCGTTTGGTGCAGTTTCTAGTCCCTCGTTAGCGCATTCTCCGACTTCCATCGTGGCAGACACGTCGTTGCGATGATGTCGAGCAGCTTGCTGAACGCACGTGGGTTGATGTTCATCTCACCAGGTCCGCTGCTGGGCAGTACTCTTGCACTCGTGGTGTTCTGGGCCATGCGTCATAGTCGACAACGACGACTGAGCTGGATAAGCGTTCCACTGCCTCCTCGCGGTTATCAACATTTACCCACTGCATCGACAGCTCAGACGCTAGTTCGAGTAGGAATGACAGCAGAACAGCCAACAGAAGACTCGACAACGTTCTACGACTGGGTGCTCGCTACGACTACGAGATTCCGCGGCAAACCGTGGCTGCTTCAACGACCAGGACGTTCCGATGTGCTTGTTGTGAGCTCTCCAGTCGCATTCGAGGACATCCAACGAACGTATGCAGTGCAATTCGAGAAGGTTAACAGTGAAGCCGAAGGATTGACACACGACGTGCATGGTGGAGCTATTGCACTTGTGTATAGTGGACATGTCCGTCCGTCTGTAAATATGCAGCGACAACTGGCAGCGACTGTACTTGGATCATCAGCCCTGCGTCAACAAGCCTCAGTACTGGTTAAACAACACATTAACTCTCTTTCACGGATTCTAGATAACAACCACGCGCTGGATATGACGAAGCTGATGCGTCAATTCTCGATGGAGGTGTTCACCGACTTAGGCTTCGGTTTGCAGCTGGGAGCACTGCGTTCTGCTAGTATGGAGACGAGTAAGTTCGAGAAAGCGGTTGATGACATTCATCAGCGTGTAATTGAGCGAAAAAGCCGATCTGCAGCTGTGTGGAAACTACAACGCCTGCTGGATATCGGTAGTGAAGCGGCACTAAGTCGCAGTGTCGATATAGTGAACTCTGTCACGTTAGAGGCCGTTGAAGCGAAGAGAAAGAGACGTCGAGCTGAGAATCCGATCGCTGGCAGTCGCGTGGACATGCTCGATCTTCTTCTGAGTCAAAAATGCAACAGCAAGAGCTCGAAAGACCCCGAATTCTTGGCGGAATTTGTGTTAAGTCTCGTAGTGGCAGCGAGAGATTCGATGGTGCATACATTGACTAAATGTCTGCAGTGTCTCGCGCAGCACCCAGAGGAGCAAGAAAAACTCGTGTGTGAGTTAAAACAAGCACAAGAAAAAGGGATAGACGTTCAATCTGTAGTGCGTCTTGAAGCGGTGGTGAAGGAGACACTGCGGTTGTACCCTGCTAAACCGTTTATTCGACGTCGAGCGAGACTCGATACAGTCCTTAGTGACGGCACATTCGTTGCTGCTGGAACGGAAGTGGTGATGGATCTGTATAGTATGGCTAGACGAGAGAACGTGTGGGGGCCTGACAGTGCTCAATTTCGACCTCAGCGTTGGATCGACACAGCAAACAACAGACTACGTCCTGTGTCCAGCTACAAGTTTAATACCTTCCTAGGTGGCCCACGTGCTTGTATTGGCGCTGACATCGCCCTGGTGGAAATTAAGACGGTAATTGCGTCGGTGATAAATAGTGTCCAGCTGGATGCGATCGAGTGTGATCAAAGCTGCGACGATAAGAGACTGACGCTAAAGATCCGACGTCGAGATGCCAACCTGCCAGGACAATATAGCTAAGTTAGCTATTTAGAAATGGATACAAAATTGGAAAGACTCAATAATGATCAAAACTGCTTGATTTATTCCGTCTTGATCTCCATCTTCGGCTCCGTCTTCACGTCAGGCTCCGCTTTAACAGCAACCTCTTGCGACTGCGTTTTCGCCCTCGATCGCGTCGGCATACGTCGCGCTGGAACTTCGTCCGCTGAAGAAGCTGGTGGCACGTACACGGATAAGTCCACCGCAGGCCCCTTTTTCTTCTTCTTTGCCTGCTCCCCATCAGTCTCCGCTTTACGCTTCGCTCGCGGCTTTGGGGCTGCTTTCTTTTTCTTCTTACCGACTCCAGCTGTCCGGGGCTTCTTTACCTTTAATTCGTTCATAAGAGCATTAAAAGTCGACGGGTTTTCACGCTTGAGCAGCGCCGATTGTCTCTCCAGGTCTTTCTCTTCCTTATCCAGCTGCTGCTCGTACTCCTCTCGTCTCTTAGTGGCTTTCAACTTGGCCGCCTCCGTGCGCTTCCTTAGCAACGCACGCTTGGCCATTTTCAGTCTCCCCACTTTGTTCACGAACACGGCGCTCGCTTCTTTGTTGCGCTTCTCCGTTTTGGTCGACCGGAGCTTCTGCGGTATTTGAGGCTTCTCTCTCGTGGGCCTCACGAGCGGTGGCGCTCCTCGTACTACATTACCAGTGCATGCTTTGCACTTGCGAATATCTTTTCTGGCTTCGCCTCGTTGTGTGTTGGAGTAACTCGATTCTGGTAGCACCAATAGACAGCACTTGCAGTCCAGCATGTTGGCGGCCTTCATAATTTCGGCCTGTGGGACAACAAGTAGTGGGTATCCACAGGCCGAGCAGCACGGCGGAGTGGTAATTTCGGTGGACTGCTGCTCTGTAGCTGGAGTTGAGGCATTGACGATCGGGTGTTCGTCGTTGAGAAGTGAGTCATCTTCGGGAGACTCGACAACTTCAGCTTCTGCCTTGACAATATCAGACGCAGGTGCAATTTCAGCTGAGCTATCGACGGTAAGCTCGGATTTAATATTAGCTTCGTAGATGCCGCCGTCTTCGCTCTCCGTGGAGCTGCCGCCATCCGAAGCGTACGCTAAGCTCATCGCTGGAATTGAGAACTGGTGGAAAGAAATGGGGAGACGCAAATAGAGTTTTAGGCAACACAAATTAGGTTAAAAATACATCCGTTTTCTGACAATTTTTGATCCAATTTAAAATAAGCTTTACCTGTAGATGATCGTAAAAATTTTGGTCTACTAGATTTAGAACCTAGATAGAGAACTAGGTAGAACAACTTTAGGTCCAAATTTGGTTTTCTATTCTAAGTAAATTGGAGCGGCTCCAGATTATTTAGGAACCTAAGAATGTACAGATTTGATTTGAGGTCCTAATATGTATTCTAATACGTGATGGCACAAAAACTAAAGTTCATCTAAAAAAGAAAAAAGAAACGCTGGAAGTCCAAGTGCCTAAAGTATTTTCTGGAGATCAAGGGGCCGCAATAGCATAAGCAGCAGATCTACTGGATCTTGGTCTCGGAGGTGATTCACTCAATAGCGGATGACACTCGCGAGTACACGGTTGGAACACACTTGAACGCACAACCAGTGCC